GGAAGATTGTATTTATTCCCCTCCCCCACCCCCCCAGTACTCCCGGTTTGGGGTGGGAGGGGGGTGGAGGGGGGTTTGGAAGTGGGGCTGGAAATGGGGGAGGGGAGGGTCCCTCTGCTGGCACTGCCCCTCCCCCCTGCCCTCCCCCCAAAAAACGAGCAATAGGTGCAAGAATGGGGGGAGGAGGGGGGAGGGGCAGCACGGGACCCCTCCCCTCCCCCCTCCGCCCCTCGTGCGGTTTTACCATCTCTATAATGAATTAATCACGTTCAATAAAGTTAATTGAAAGTCATGAGGAATTAGTTTGGGAAATCACTCCTGACCGCTGGGGGGGGCCATTGCCGTTGCCGTGGAGATGCGAACGCTAGGGGGTGCTGTCGCCATAGTGACGGTTGCCTTGGAGATCACCCCCCCCCCCGGGCTGTTGCCATGGCTAAGGGGGTGGAGGGTGGGGACCCGTCCTTGAGCCCGCAAACTCAACCCGGAGACACCCAAATCCTCACCTGGGATTTATGGGGGAGTCCTGAGGGGGCTGGGGGAGGTTTTGGGGTCGCCTGGGATATGGGGAGGTTCTAGGGGGGCCCAGGGGTAACCTGGGGGGTCCCACCCTCTTGGGAACCACCACGGGATGCGCCTTGTATGCAAATGAACCCGCGCTATACGCAAATAAGCCCGACCTCCATGCAAATTAACTCCCTCCACACAAACTAACTCGGCCCCGCCCCTCTGCCGCGTATGCAAATGAACCTGCCCGCTTTCCTCTCTTATTGGCCGCGCTGCCAGGTGGGCGGGACTTGTGGGGTGGGCACGACGTCACTTCTGATTAAATGCGCGAAACATTGAGGTGGTCGCTGATTGGTTCAGCCGGAGCCGTATGCAGATGAGGGGAGATACCTAGTTTTGCGGATCCCAGTTGAGGGGGGCGCCTCTTTGGATGAGGTCCCAGTTTATGGAGCCTTCTGCAGTTTGTAGAGGCGCCCCAGATCGGGGGAGATCACCAGTGTGGGGTCTCCCCAGTATACGAGGGGTCCCCAATTTCTCCCTCAAAATCGCTGCGCCTTTAAGACGCTCCCTCTCATGAAGCCACAGCGCCCCCTGGCCGTCCGGCGGTCTTCCCGCCTCTCCCAGGCCCCGCCCCTCCACTTCGGCCGCGCTCCGGGCCTCGCTCGGGCCTTTCCGCCGCACCGGGAACCGAACCCCCGGCCCCCCCCGTCATTGGCCGGAGCGCTCGCGCCGCCCCCCCGCCATTGGCCCGAGCGCTCGCGCCGCTTCCGCCGCGCCCCCCCCCATTGGCCGCAGCGCTCGCGCCGCCGGTGAGTGACAACCCCACCCCCACCCCCTCCACCTCAGCCCTCAGACCCCCGCCGGGCGCGGGGGCGGTCGGTGGGGGGGACCCTCCGCGCTGCCGCTTCCGCCACAGTCGGGTAAAGCTCGGTTTTAAGGCCTGAAAAAGGGTTTAGGCCTTGAAAAGAGGCGGTGGGAGAGGGTCCGGAACCCTCGGGGATCTCCCCCGGGGCTTTTTTTCCCGGTGCCCGGCGGGCGCTGCCGGGAGTTGTAGTTCCGGGGGGAGAGTCCCTGAGGGAGGGGAGGGGCTCGCAAAATGTATTTTGAGGAGGAAATTATGATTTAAGGAGGATTTGTGGGCCCTCCGGTGCTCTGGGGTTGTATTTTAAGGAGAAACTGTGATTTATGGGGTTTTGGGGGGCTCAGGGGTTTTGTTTTGAGGGGGAAAATTGTGTTTTTCGGGAAGTGCTTGGGGTCTCTGAGGGCTCTGCTGTTGGTTCTGATGAATTTGGGGGGGTCCTGGATTTTGGAGAAAGCTTTTTTTGCCCCCTCCTCAATTCCATCTTGGGGAGAGTCCCTTAATCCCTCACCCCTGGGAAAGTGGGGAATATTTTGATTTTTTCCCCCTGTTTTTTTTTGACATTTTTCAGTAAAAATCCCTAAAATGCCATGCGAAGGCTTTAATGACCGCCCCAAATTAATAATTCTTGTTAAATGATGAGACTTTTAATTAATATTTATTTATTCTTTCACCGGAGATTTGACACCCTCAGGCTCAGGTGGGGTTGAAACCCCACCTAAAATCACCCAAACATCTCCCAAAAATCACCCAAAACCCCTGAAATCCTTGAAACCCCTAAATAAATTCAGACTCTTCCCAAAAATCTCAAAATTGCCCTAAACCACCTGGAAAACTCCCAAGTAAACATAGAAACGCATTTAAAATTAATTTACACATGAGAAAACCCCCAAATCTGCAGCCTCCCCCTCAAAAAAATCCCAAAAATGACCCCAAGACCCCCCAAACCTGACCCACCCCCCCTCTTAATGAACCCACCCCTAATTAACAAGGGGATATTTATGCAAATGAGCCTGAGGTGGTTTTTTTGGGGAGTCCCTTTTCCCTTTTTTTCCTTTTTTTCCATTTTTTTTCTGCTTTTTCTCACATTCCCATCCCCTTTTCCCGCTTTTCCCCCCCCCAAAATCCGGAGCGGATTCTGTCCCTTGGACCCGTCACCATCCCCTCTTTAATTAATCCCTCGTTAACGAACTCTTGGCCTGACCTAATTACGGGAGGAGGCTCCCAAGGGGCCCCCAGAGCCCCCTGACCCCATTTGGGGGGGCTGGGTTGGGATTTTTTGGGAATTATTTTATATTTTTTGGTTTTACTTTTGGGAATTGTGAAGATTTTTGGGGGGATTTATTTGTTAATTTAGGGGTTGATTTGTTTTTTTTTTGGCAGGGTTATTTGGGTTTTTTTGGAGTTATTTGTTGTTTTGGGGGTCAGTTTATTTTTAGGGCTTTTTTTTTGGCAGGTTATTTATTATTTTAGGGAGCTTAATTTTAATTTTGGGGAGTTCATTTCTTATTTTTGAAAGTTAAATTCATTTGACAGGATTTATTTTGTATTTTTGGGGATTTTTTTTTTATTTTCTGGGTTTATTTCTTAATTTTAGAAATTTTTTTCCTTTTAGGGATTTATTTTTAGCTTTTGGGAGTTACTTCTTGTTTTTAGGGATTATTTCATGGGTTTTGGGGGTTATTTCTTGTTTTTTGGGACTTGTTTCTCATTTTTAGGAGCACTTCTTATATTTGTGGCAACTTAGTTCTTATTTTTAGAGTTTTAATCTTTAATTTCGATAATTTATTTCTTAATTATGGGAATTATTTCTAAAATTTTAGAGATTTATTCTTTATTTTGCGAATCATTCCTTATTTCCAATTTTGGGGGGATTTTAGGGACTCATCCCTCATTCCCACCCCCCCATTCCCAAATTTTTTCAGGACAAAACACCAAAACCCCTCCCACTCCCCTCGATTTTTTTGGAGAATCCTGGAAAAAACTCACGGAAGAAAAAAAACTTCAAATTTTAATTTTCTCCTTCATTTTTCCCCCCTTTAAACCCAGAATTTTGCCGGAATTTTGGGAGTTCCTGCTCAGAACCCTCCTCTTCCTCCTCCGGAGCTGGGAATTCTTTGGGAATTCTCTGGGAATCCCTAACGAAGGAGCCAAATTAATAAGGAGGGGGCGGAGCCTTCGCTAATGAGCGCCAGTTAACGAGCTCCGGCCTCTCCTTTGGGGAAAAATCCCGGGATTTTGGGGCTTTTTTCCCCCTCTGGAGCGTTCTCCCGGCGGCCTCGGCATCCCTGGAGTTCAGGCAAGTGGGAATTTGCTTGGATTTGGGAATGTTGACAAGAGCTTTTGTTTAATTAGCGTTAATTAAGCCGGCGCCATCAGATAAAAGTCGCAGCAGGGCCCGGCTTTATCCCTGTTTTTCCACCTTTTTTTTTTTTCCCCTTTTTTCCCTCTTTTCTCACAACATTCCCGTTCCTCGTCAATTAGGATTATCCTTTTTTAATCGCTCATTAATTAATTCCGAAGTCCTCAACTCTTTAATTAATTAATTCCTTCATTTCGTCCCCTTTTTGCCGCTTTTGGGGTTGTTTTCCCTCTTTCCCACAGCTCCATTCCCATTTTTTGGGGGGCTTTCCCCCCCCAAAAAAAATCCTGAAATGATTTTTTTAACATGGGAAAATGGGAAAACAATCCAGCAGGGATTTGTGAATAATTAAACCTCATTTAGAGCTCGTTAAGTTTTAATTACGATGAGGTGGGGCCGCGCTTTCTCCTCCTCAGGGCTCTGCGGGGCGTGGAAAGAGTTAAAAATTCCTTGGATTTATCAAAAAACTTGGAGTTAATTATTAAAATCATCCCTCCCTTCCGGAGTGGGAAGGGCTGGATTCAGCTTCTGTAAATTCCCGCTTCGGGAAAATCGGGATTGGCCTTCAAAATCCCAATTTTGGGGCTGAAAAATCCCAATTTTGGGGTTTTTAAAGGAGCAGAATCGATCCCTTGGGAGTTGTTTTAACCTTTTCCCGCTTTCTTCATCCCGAATTTTGCCTCTGGAGCTCCTGGATTTTGTTTATCCTGGGAATGTGGAGGGATTCAGGGATCTGGGTATTCCAAAAAGTGAGGATTTGCTTGGGATGCCTCCAAAACCCCCAAAAATTCAGCTGTGTTTCGATGGAAAAATCCCAGAATTTGGTGATTTTTCCCATTTTCCACTGGATTTTCCTCCAAATTGGGCTCATCCAGAGGGAAGGAATTGTTTTGCTCCCATTCCAC